TTCTGCTGGCAGCAGCCTCGAGGACCCGCAATTGATGAGCCACGAATATGCATGTTTCGGAGGCGACAGGCCAAACAGGCCATGTAGAAGCTCTGTGGGGGGGAATTGGAACCCTAGAGAGAGAAAATGACCACTACGACACTGAGACATTGAGACAGCCAAGAGCGTCTCGACGTCTTGATGTCTTAATGTCTCAGCGTCTCAGTGTCTCAAGGGGGGTGGGTCACTTTCCAGTGTGTTCGGCAGAGGAAAACCCAATGATGCCAATTCTTCCTTCTTTGCATTGCAACAGCGCCGAAAGGCTGTGAGTGTGTATGCAGCAATGGCCCACATATGCCCTTTGTGCGGCTCAACTTTGTGGTACCGGCGTGCATTGAACGAGACCGGTTTGTCGTGCATGTCGAGCCACGAGCCGCGCAGCTGATGCATTTTGTTTTTGACCACGACCTGGTCCGGTGAGGTTCCTTCATCGTTCTCGATCCACACTCTGCCGCCGGTAAAGTCGCCCAATGCAATGGCATGATTTGGCATCCCGATCATGTTTCCCATGTCACGGTGCAGCCCGATGCGAGGGTTCAAAATCACGGCCAGGGAGGTCCATTTTCCATCGGGGAAGCGGTTCCGTAGAAAGTGATTGAGCGCCATGCATGCCTTTTTCGCGCTGGAAGCTTTGGACAGGCAGGGCTCCGTCCCGGCGAAGGCATAGAGCCCCAGGGTGCAGTAGATGTCGTAAGATCCTGCCCCGATTGCCCGTCGTCGACCTTTGTGCTTCCATTGTTGCGACCATAGATCGAGCAATTCCACCAGGTTATGCTCCGTGGGGTGCTCCACGACGGCTTGACAGGCTTGCTCCATTTCCTCTTTTTCTATCACCCTAATCAGAGTGCTCCAGCTACTCTGACGATTGGGCAGTCTCAATGTCTCAGTGTCTCACATGTCTCGCTGCCCTGCCCTGTGCAATCCCGAGGATTCTCCGCGATGACCGGGCTGCCCAAACAACGGCATCCAGGCTCTCAACCGAGTGCCCAATCGGTTTGTGATCAAACGATAACACCCATCGTGGCCGCAATTTTCGGTGATTTGTCCCCAAACTTTCGGTGTGCTGCCCCATCCCGAGGATTCCCCGGGATGGGCCGGGCTGCCCAAACGACGCTGTTTCGACACCACTGCCACCATTCGACAATTTTGTCGAGCGGTGGCAGTGGCAAAAAACTCCAGACTCTCAACCGGGTGCCCAATCGGGTGTGACCAAACGGAAACACCCATCGTGGCCGCAATTTTCAACACAGGTGACACCTGTGTTGAAATGCTCCTCTGTTTTCTTAGCACTGTCACTACTCACCAATTTTGGTGAATAGTGACAGTGGTGTCGAAATTGTGGCAAAATGCTGTTATTCAGGCAGCCCGATCCATCCCGGGGATTCCCCACGATGGGTGTGACGGATTGGGCACACGGTTGAACGTTTTTCTTAGCACTGCCACTACTCACCAATTTTGGTGAGTAGTGGCATTGGTGTCGAAATTGTGGCAAAATGCTGTTATTTAGGCAGCCCGATCCATCCCGGGGATTCCTCGGGGATGGGGAGAGGGTTTAGGATGGGGCAGGTGATGCTTGGTGATGCTCGCTTCTTGCGCGTCGTTGTTTGTAGTGAGCAATTCCACCAGGTTATGCTCTACGGGGTGCTCCACGACGGCTTGACAGGCTTGCTCCATTTCCTCTTTTTCTATCACCATAATCATGGTGTTCCAGCTACTCTGACGACTGGTCAGTTGTTCGGGCCCTATGGCCCTAAAACACCATGCCGCACCCCAAATTTCAGCACGTCCCTGTGGGGCAAGCGATCGAGTCCCGCCGGCAGGTCGATTTTGCCCCTCCATCATGGGCCCGGGCGGCGCTCGCCTCGAGTGCACCCTGCGCTCGTGTTTCGAAATACTTACGGGCCGCTTCGGTGCCCCCGTGCGGAACCGGTGCCGAGACGGTGTCGAGTCGGTGCCGCGGAGACCATCGATCGGTCCGATCCACGGCAAGGTCTTGAAATCAAGTTTCGCACGGGCCAGGCAGACGGCGCGATTTCGAGCCTACGTCGCTTGCGTTTTCGGGTCACAATCGCGCTCTTCGGTTCATGGGGGGACGGGAGGTCTGCCAGACGGCTGTATTTCAGAGTACGGTGGGGGGTGGGAGAAGGCCAGACAAGCGAGACAAGCGAGACAAGGGAGACAAGCTTCGGCCGGGCGGAGGAGGGAGACACGGGAGACATCTGAGACATTGAGACAAAAAAAGGGATAAATAGACTACTGAGTCTCAGATGTCTCAGATGTCTCAGTGTCTCAAGGGGGGTCCGCCCTGAATCCCCAAGACTCCGCGTCTCAGATGTCTCAGATGTCTCAGATGTCTCAGTGTCTCAAGGGGGGTCCGCAGCGAAGCCTCAAGACTCCGCGTCTCAGATGTCTCAGATGTCTCAGTGTCTCAAGGGGGGTCCGCCTCGAATCCTCAAGACTCCGCGTCTCAGATGTCTCAGATGTCTCAGATGTCTCAGTGTCTCAAGGGGGGTCCGCCCCGAAGCCTCAAGACTCCGCGTCTCAGATGTCTCAGATGTCTCAGTGTCTCAAGGGGGGTCCGCCTCGAATCCTCAAGACTCCGTGTCTCAGATGTCTCAGATGTCTCAGTGTCTCAAGGGGGGTCCGCCTCGAATCCTCAAGACTCCGTGTCTCAGATGTCTCAGATGTCTCAGTGTCTCAAGGCAGTCCGCCTCGAAGCCTCAAGACTCAGTGTCTCAGATGTCTCAGATGTCTCAGTGTCTCAAGGGGGGGGGTCCGCCCCAGATCCCCTCAAGACTCAGTGTCTCAGATGTCTCGCTTGTCTCGCTTGTCTCGCCCGGCTCCTCTGGGGGTTCGAACCGAGGGCGTCTCAGATGTCTCGCTTGTCTCGCTTATCTCGCGGGGCTCCTCTGGGGGTTCGAACCGAGAGCGTCTCAGATGTCTCGCTTGTCTCGCGGGGGATCCTCCAGAGGTCGGAGGCGGGCGACCGCCAACCTGCCAAGATCTCAGTTGTCTCGCTTGTCTCGCGGCGGAGTTTTCTGAAATCTGGGGGGCGGCGTCCGACAGCCCGCCGAGCTTGTCTCACTTGTCTCGCTTGTCTCGCGGGGGGCCTCCGGGGTCCGGGGGGGCGGCGGGCAGACAACCCACCAGGCTTGTCTCAGTTGTCTCACTTGTCTCAGGGGCGTCCGTCCTCTGGGCCGGGGACTGGCGAGGGGTTTCACACAGAAGTGTAGGCAATATTTTTTTGCGATTTTTCCATGTTTTGTTGGCTTGATTTTGCTTGACTTTTTTTTTCTTGGCTGGAGTGCATGATATTGAACATTCTTTTCTCCAAACCGACCACATGGTTGCAGCAGCCGCGGTTCACACAGCTGCTGGCTTGTTTTCTTCTGTGTTTTGGGGCACGCTGCAGCCCGTGCAATACAGTCCGCGCCCCCCCTGGATCACCTCCTTTTTAACCCGTCTAGCCCTCACCCAGCGCCGCCGCCAGGTACTTGTACTTCTTCGTGCGCTGCCTCCGAGCCACCCTGTTTTGTTGGGTTTTGTGTGCGCTCGGTGTGGCCCCTGTCAGGTACTTCGACATCTTCTTCGAGTTCCCGGCCGTCGAGCTCCTCCGTGCGCCGCTTCCGAGCCGCCCTGTTTGTTTTATGCTTTGTGTGCTCGGTGTTGCCCCTGTCAGGTACTTCTATATCTTCTTCTTTGAACTCCCGTGCTTCGAGCTCCTCCGCCCTTGGTGCGCGTGCGCTTCCAGGAGTGTGTGTGAGAAATATGAGACATATGTGAGACAACCCGGTCTTTTCCTGTGTGTGGTCTCGAGATTTTCTTCTGCATTCGCACATACCTTCAAGGGTTGATTTGCATGTGTTTAGTTTTCTGGAATGATTTTCTTGATTTTTTTGCGTGATGATTGATTGGTTTGTTTGCGCATCACCAGCGCCATCTTCTGCAGGGCTTAGGCCAGGCACCGTCTCGCTTACTGTGGCGTGAGTGGTGCAAAGTTTTGTATCCGAAAGCCTGAGATGCTGTTGGCAGGCGGGTTCATGGTCCAGAACCTATGGCGTGGAGGCGGCCTGCGCATTTGTTGTTGCTCGTACGTGTACTTGGACATGGAGTGGACTGCGCCGTTTTTGCTGCAGAGATATGGCTCAAATTCAGGAAGATGTTACAGCAATGGCAGAAGGCAAGAAACGCTCCGGTGGCCCCGAAGTAGAGGACCGCGGCATTAAGTGTTTCTTGGTCGAGCTGCCTGAAACCTGCCCTTGTGCAGGAGCCTGAGACGAAAAAGGTTCGTAGACCTGAGGCCTGGCCAGTGCACGGGCTTGTTTACTGGTTCACTGCAGGGCGTGCCAGCGTGTTCACTTTGAGAGTAAACAGCGGCTTTTGCATCGGAATCCCACGAGAAGGCCAGAGCCAACTTCCGAGTTTCTGAAGGATTGGGTTCGACATTCACGGATGGCTTCTTCAGGCAACCCCCAGTGAGGACGTGGAACGCACAGCGACAGAGGCACGTTTAGGGAGCTGTTGTTCTTGCTAGTTTGGGCTTGGTAGCTCCTGGCACCTGCCGGCCAAGGCAAGCTTGGATCAGGCGGGCCGTCCGTGAAGGCTCGCAGACTGGAGCATTGTTTAGGCTGTGCCCATTGGCGCAGGCCGAGTGGCTGCAAAAGACAGCTGAGGAGATCAAGCAATTTACAGCGGATGAGGCGCTTTGCGATGTCTCTTGCTTGAAGCTTCGGGTCTGCGAGCATGGATGGCAGGTCAGTTCTTGGGTCCGGGCGGCCTTGGAAGCGGAGAACTACACCGAAGAGGCGCAAGCGATTGTTGAGACTTTGAAGCAGCAAAAGGTGAAGGGCACCGCGCTGATGGACCTGACCTATGAGCGGCTAGTGGCCGAGCCCTACAAAATTGCTGGCGGCCCTGCCGGAAACCTGGCCAAGCGCATCGCCGCTGTGTCTGCCCCGCCCATGGCCGCGAGCGGATTCCAGGTGGGGGCCTCAGCGGAGATTGGAGGGGTGCCTTCACTGGAAAAGTTTGTTAGGACGACCCGGAAGCCGCGGGGTTCGTCCGGGAGCTGGCCAACGCTGCGCCAAGGGACTTGGGTGAAGGCCGCTTGGGGCCTTTGGGGTGAGTGATCTCTTTTGTCTGCGCCCCTGTTGCAGGCGTGCAGGTCTTCAACCTCACGAAGTCCTTGCCCGTAGAGCCGTACAGCCAGAGCGGGCCGAAATTATTGACGCGCACTACGACGCGCCAGGCCTGGCAGGCCACCTTCGAGCTCATGAACAGAGGCACCGAGCGAGCGGACGGCATCAAACGAGTGGCCATGCTGGGCGTCCCGGGCATCGGGAAGAGCCGCAATTTGGCGCTGGGCCTTTGGCACCTGGTGACGGGCAAGGAGCTGCCAGAGGGGATTCAGCAGCCCAAGGCCATCGTCTATGAAGCCCGAGAGGGTGGGGTGGTCTTCCGTTTCACCAAGGACCAAGGTGGCCAGTGGAAGGCGCAGAGCCGCGACATGCAAAATAATTGGAGCCCCGTAGGCTGCCTGGACCTGAAGTGCGCCAACAACTGGTATCTCGTGGATGCCTCCGAGACAAAGACCTCCACCTTGAAGTTGTTTGCCAAGACAGTGCTCGCCTGCAGCCCAGACCGGAACCACTACAGCCAGTTCGTCAAAGACGGAGGCTGCTGCGTCTATATTGAATCGTGGTCTAAATCTGAGCTCCAAGTGGCATTAGGTCACATCGTAGACAGTGCGGACATGCCGTCTAGGCTGTCTAGGTACGACCAGATCGGAGGAAATCTGCGGGCCCTTTTGTCAGCTGAAGCCGACTTCAATAAGTATGTGAAGGACCAGAAAGCTGAGGCCAAGGATTGGCAGCACTTGCAGCGTGCCTTCAGTGGCAGCTTGGACAACCAAGGCAAGAAGCTTCTCACCCGCCTTTTCACCTACATCAGCAAGGATGGCCGCCAGTACGAGGTTGATTTCTGCTGCGCCGGCGCTGCCGCGCTGGTTGCGAACGAGCACTATGAGAAGCTGGTGGAGCTCTGGAGCAAGCAAGATGAGCCCGCGAGGTACTGGTTCCAAAAGTTTCTCGGACCCCTGTTGACTTTCTCCTGGTTTCACAAAAGGTTTGCAGCCTGGACTATCACCAATGAGGGCACCGCTGACCGTGCTTCCTGGCGACGGGAGAAGTGCGACGACTTGATGATTGCAGAAAACTTGCAGCTATTGGAGTGCGATTCCATAGCCATTTTTGCGGACAGATGGTGGAAGGCACTGCAGGAACGAACCCTATCGCAAAAGGTTTTGAGTAGCCCAGCCGGTTACCCGGGCATTGACTATCTGCTGGACTTCAACCACGGCATCCAGGTGACCACAGCCGGAAAGCACAACCTTGCACAACAGTTTCGCGAGAAGTTGATGACGATGTTCAAAGGAACTCGCCACAGTTTCACTCTCACGTTTCTCACGACAGGAGATCCTAAAACATTCTCGCCGGTCGGACGTGATTTCAACGCACTAATGGACATGGCGGGGCCATCACAGTCGTTTGACAATGTTTGTGTACAGGTCGTGCAGATTCCGAAGACGCTCAATAGCCTGAGTTGAAAACTATGCTGCGGAGAGATCTTGGGTGTGTCTGCAGCGCTTGTTGTGACTTTCGTCTCGCTTCTTGGCATCCTGAAGCTGTCAGGGGGCGGCTCATCTCGACCCATGGGAAGCCTGGTGTGAAACCCAGGCACAGCAGGACGTGGTTGTCAGTCGGGGCTTGCAGTGAAGTCAATTCAAGGAGCCTTTGAATGGTTGTTGTCAGCCAGCTGTGAAACCCTCATGTTTGTTTTTCAGGTTTGCTGAAGATTGCAAAAGAACCGGGGGATTCGTTTGTCTCTTTGTGAGCTTGGCGAATGCTGTCGGAGCAAGCTTTGTGGAGATCATTCAGACCCCGGCAAATCCCTGAGACTCGTGACGAATCTTAGGAATGAGTGGGAGCTTGGATTAGCTTTGGCCAATCAGACAGTCCGAAGTCTGGTTCACGAGCAGGTGCCGCTGCCACAGAGTTGGTTGTCCCTAAGTCGGTCCCAAACCCTTGTGCCTGAACCCTTATCACCCTCATCTTTCCTAGTTCCCCGGCTCGCCCTATGTCCCGAACCCACGCGCCCGAACCCGTTAGAACCCCAGCCCTACTGCCCTGCATCCTCCCTGCGCGCGCAGTGTGTTCAAGGGGGAGTTTCGCCGGCTGGGGTGTCGTCCGGTTTAGGTAGGGCCGGTCTAGCTTTTTTTGGGTTGCCTTCCCACACTGTAGGCCGAATCCCACTTTGATGCTTGCCGATGCTCTGGGTGCCCGCCGATGCTCTGGAGGCTCGCCGACGCTCTGGATGCTCGCCGACGCTCGCCGCCGGCTCAGAGGCGAGAGACTCCCAGAGACAGGGAGACACTTGAGACATTGAGACGCGGCTGCGCTGGTCCTGGTCTCTTTCAGGCAGACCTCCCTGAGACACTGAGACATTGAGACATTGAGACGCGCCGTGCTGGCCCAGGCAGACCTCCCTGAGACACTGAGACATTGAGACGTTGAGACGTGCCGTGCTGGCCCAGGCAGACCTCCCTGAGACACTGAGACATTGAGACATTGAGACGCGCCGTGCTGGTCCAGGCAGACCTCGCTGAGACACTGAGACATTGAGACATTGAGACACGCCATGCTGGCCCAGGCAGACCCCGCCGAGACAACTGAGACATTGAGACGTTGAGACGCTCCGCTGGCCCAGACAGACCCGAGACATTGAGACGTTGAGACATCGAGACGCTCCGCGCTAGCCCAGACAGACCCGAGACATTGAGACGTTGAGACATTGAGACGCTCCGTGCTGGCCCAGGTAGACCCCCCTGAGACATTGAGACATTGAGACATTGAGACATTGAGACATTGAGACATTGAGACATTGAGACCTTGCCACGCTGGCCCAGGCAGACCCCCCTGAGACATAGAGACATTGTGACGGGGAGGCTGTGAGAGGGACGGAGACAGGCGAAACATCTGAGACATTGAGACGGGGGTGCTTGGGAGGGAGGAGGAGGGGCCCGGAGACAGGCGAGACATCGAGACGGGGGTGCTTGGGAGGGAGGAGGAGGGGCCCGGAGACAGGCGAGACATCTGAGACATTGAGACGGGGGTGCCTTGGGAGGGAGGAGGAGGGGCCGCAGACACGCCAGACATCTGAGACATTGAGACGGGGGTGCCTGCGAGGGAGGAGGCGAGACATCTGAGACATTGAGACGGGGGTGCCTGGGATGGAGGAGGAGGGGCCCGGAGACAGGTGAGACAGCTGAGACATTGAGACAAAAGAGGCGTAAAAAGACTACTGTGTCTAGATGTGTCAGATGTCGCAGTGTCTCTCAAGGGGGGGGCCGCCCTAGAACCCAAGACTCAGATGTCTCAGATGTCTCAGTGTCTCAAAGGGGTCCGCCCTAGAACCCAAGACTCAGATGTCTCAGATGTCTCAGTGTCTCAAGGGGGTCCGCCCTAGAACCCAAGACTCAGATGTCTCAATGTCTCAGTGTCTCCAGGGGGGACCGCCCTAGAACCCAAGACTCAGATGTCTCAGATGTCTCCAGGGGGGACCGCCCTAGAACCCAAGAGTCTCAGATGTCTCAGTGTCTCAAGGGGGGACCGCGCTAGAACCCAAGACTCAGATGTCTCAGATGTCTCAGTGTCTCAAGGGAGGTTCGCCAAGATCCCGAGACTCAGATGTCTCAGCTGTCTCGGTGTCTCAAGGGGTGGGTCCGCCCCAGATCCCCAGGAATCAGTCTCAGTGTCTCAACAGTTTGTTTTACGGCGGAGCCACGGGCCCGGGGTTGAAATCTCGCAGCTGCCGGACAGCTAAGGCCACGGGTGGGCGTGTGAGTCTCGCTTTGGGCTCGGCGCTGCCACGGGGAACGGGTAGAGCATGCTTCAATAGAGTCTCGCTGCCATCGGTAGCCCGGACCACCATAGAGTCATAAGAGGCCACATCCTTGGCCACCCCATACTGGGGCTGGAAGCTCCGTGCTGCATTGGTCGGTGCCCGGAAGGCGCCCGCTTGTTGCAGGCGCTGCTGTCGGCTCCTCGTTAGGGTGTCGTTGTGCTTGAACTTCTGCGCGTTGTCTTGGTACACTCGGAACGTGGTGGCTGGCTGCTTCTCCACATCTTCAGGAGCTGCGTGTACGGCCTCATGGGGCCGAGAGTTGTAGGCCTCCGTTGCCTGCTCCACGTGATCCGCCCATGCCCCCCCATCTCGCGCCACTTTCCCCGCCAGGTCCCGCTTCAGGGTTTGGATGGTTCTATCCACCACTGCAGTCGCGTTCCGATCGGAGGGCTCCTTGACCCTGTGCACCACCTGCTCCGGCAGCGCCCCCTCCAGGCCGTTGAACTCGTTGCCCTGATCAGTCGTCACCACGTAATTCGTTTCGTCCTCCACCAGCTTGGGAATGATCTCCCGAGCTGCTGCTGACACCGTCTCTGCCCTTTTGTCGGGCAGGGCCTTGGTCACTGCCTCTCGGGTGAAAACGTCGGACACAATCAGCCCGTACTTTTTGGCCCCGCGCGTGTTGACGTTAAAATCGATCAGGTCCGCTTGCAGCCTGTCGTTGGGCCGCTCCGCCGCGCTCTTGCCCAAGCTGCGGGCTTGGGCGCTAGCACTTGCCTCGCGACGTCGGTCCGCAGGGCTGCACGGGCCCGTGCTGCTGTAAGGTCCCTGCGCTCGGGGTGATCCCTGCGGGCTATTTGGTAGAGCTTCCTTGGGTCTCTCACGTTGAACTCCTCTGCGAGGCCCCGGAAGAACTCGAGCGCTCCCTCCTCCGCCATTTTTACTTCTTCTTGGGCTTCTTCTCCAGCGCCTCTACGCGGGCTTGGAGCCCCTGGCAGACTCCCCACAAAACGCAGCGCATGCGGTTGTAGTCGAGCGTCACGAGCTCCCCGAGCTCTTCGTCCACGAGCTTGCCGCACAGCGCCTGGCCCACGGGCCCCGTGTCCCGCACCTCGTTGGCGATGAAGCCCAGCGCGCGCTTCTGGCTGCCCGCGGTCCGCCGGTACCACTTGGGTGCCACGGTGTCAAAGACCTGCTGCAGCTCCTCGAGCTCCGCGGGCTCCACGCTGTGCTTCAGCTTCTCGTCCGAGAGGTTTTGGAAGCCGTAGTTGCAGATCACTTCCCCATCGTTGGCCCCGCCCGTGTTGGATTCCACGATGAGGTTGGCGGGCCCGGTTGCCGCCGTGCGCAGGAAGATGGCCTGGTCCTGGGCGTAGAGCTGCACGCCCCCAGCGGAGGAGGCGGTGAGCTCGCCCGAGCCTGCGTTGCAGGCCACCAGGAGCCGCGCATTGCCCGCAGTTGCGAGGTTCAGCACCTCCGCCGTGACGTCCCCGCTGTTGACGGTGGACACCACCTGCAAATCCCCTTGCGCTTGCACCCCTGTGGAGCCACCGATGAGCTCCAGGTATGCGGAGCTCGAGACGATGCCGTTGTCGGCCCGAATCGCACTGGCGGTGTAGAGCACCGAGTTGAGGTAGGTCCCCTGTGAGCCGCCCGTGAGCGTCAAATAGTCGTCCGTGGTCCTCGCCCGCACCGTGGGCGCCCGCAGCTCCGTGCTGAGCTCCACGCTCCCAGAGGTCAGTGTGCCCTGCACATCCAGTGCGCCGGTAACAACGGTGCCTCCAGAGCCGCCGGTGATGGTGAGCTCTGTGTCCTGGACTCGCGTGGAGATGGCATTGGTCACGAGCCCCGTGGCGGCGCCGACGACGTCCTCGATGTAGAGCTGGTCGTCCACGCGCAGCCGCGGGGCCACCGAGTGCACCTCCGACGTTGCGAAGGTGCAGAGGCTCTGGTCACTCTGGTCCGTCACCCTCACAGAGACGGTGCCCGCCTTCAAGTTAAGGAATTGATTGGTCGGAAGCAGGGGCTCCACCGTGTCCGCTTGGAGGCTGCCGGCCGTGGCGATGCCCAGGCTGCTGTCCGCGAAGATGCGCCCCATGGTCAGCATGTTGACGCCCGCCTTGAGGCTGAACTGGCTCGAGGACAGGTCGGCCACGGCGGCCCCTCCGCTGGCTTCAAACTCGATGCCGAGGCTCCCGCCCCGCAGCGTCAGGAAGTCGCCCCCGTTGGCCCGGACGTCGTTGACGAGCAGGGGGTCCGACGGTGGTGCCCCCGCCAGCGCATAGCGTGAATCCGATTCACTCTTGCTGTAGCAGTCGCAATTGAGACGGAGCGTGGCCCCGTTGCCCAGGATGGGCGTGGCGCTCAGGGGCGCCTGGGGGAGGAGAGCCCTGATCATGCGCGGAGTGAACTGCTCCAGCACCATCGTGTAGATGCCCCCGCCCTCCACATTGCCGTTGACGGGAAAATAACGGGAGTCCAGGGGTGTGAAGTCGCTGCTGGAAAAGTACCTACCATCGCTCTCGCTCTTGCTGTAACAATCGCAGGTCAGCTGCACGGTGGCGGAGTTGCCCAGGATCAGGTTCGCTCCCAGGGGGGCCTGGGGCAGCAGCGCCCTTATCATTCTGGGCGTGAAGTTGTCGAGCACCATGGGGATGATGCCTCCGCCTCCAGCGTTGCCGTTGACGGGATGATACCGGGCGTCGCCCTGCGCTTCGGTGAGGAGCCTACAGGAGCTGATCTGGCTCGCGATCTCCGCCGAGGTCTCGCCCTGGTCCCAGTAGTTGGTGAGCTCCGAAGCAATGGAGCTGTCGATGTCAGCCTGCGTGGCGTACTGCGAAACGTTCAGTGCGTCCACGGCGTTCGAGATCTGAGTGTTTACCTCGGCCTGCGTGTACGTCTGGCTCTGGTCGTAGGCCTGGCACTCGATCTGCAGCGTGTTGCCCGAGTTCTGGAGCGTGGCCACCAGGGGCCCGGTGAAGTGCAGGTTCCGCAGGGCCTGCCCGGTCAGGAGCTCCCAGGTGGTGTTTCCGCTCCAGGCGGGCGCGTTGGCAATAGCTGCGCCCGCAATGAGGGCGTCCACTTGCGCGGAGTCGTAATAGGATGCGAGCGCTATGGCGATCTCGTTGAGGATGGGCGCCTGCAGCCCGGTCCACGGCACGTATGCGCTCAAGTCGATACCGCCCACGGCCGCAGCAATCGCGGCATCCATCTGCGTGGTGGTGCTGTACGGGACCAGGGCTGCAGTGATGGCTCCATTGGTTTCGCTGCTTGTGTAGTAGCTGCCCAGGGTGGCGAGCACCCAGGACTCGCTGGCCAGGGGCGCCAGAAGAGCATTTACCGCCGCCTGTGTGTACGCATCGCAGGCCAGGCTCAGCGTGAAGTTGTCGTTCTCGAGGGAGACGCTCAGGGGAGCGTTGAAGTGCCAGTTGCGGATGGTGTTGGTGCCCACGAGGAGGTCCCAGGTGGTCTGTCCGGGCCACGCCTGGGCGTTGGCCAGGTTCGTCCCGCCGCCCGTGGTCAATGCGGCCAGTGCTGCGTTGAGCGCATCGATGGCGCTCTGCAGACTTGTTTCGGAAGCCGACAGGTCCGCCGCCGTCGCAAAGGGCCCTGCACCTTGCAGTGCCAGGATCTCCGCATCGTGCCCGTCGAGGCGCGCGTCCCGCACGGCCAGCAGGGCGTTGAGCCCCGCAGTGTCCGTGTACCCTGCGAGTGCGGTGGCAAGAGCTGCAGCCACGTCGGCAGCCGACTGGAAGCCCGCGGCTTGCAGCACTGCCAGGGCAGCCTCGGCGGCGTCGAGCCTCCCGTCTCGGATGGCCAGGGCAGCGTCCAGGGCCGCCTGCTGCACGAAAGGGAGGAGCGCCGAAGCGATGAGCTGCGAGACATCTGCGGGTGTGGTGCGCAGGGCCACTGTGCTGTTGAGGTCGGTGCTTGTGGGTCGGTCCAAAAGAGCCGTCGCTATTTTCTGGTCGACGTCAGCGGCTGTTTGCCGGGCCGCCACGTCGAGGGCCAGCTGGTCCTGCGTGCTCTTTAGCCCATAGGTGGCTGCGACCTGCGCAAGTACTGCGTTGTCGGCACTGGTGATGGCACTGTTCATGGAAGCGTTAGTGGGATGGTTGGCGAGCTTCAGGTCCACGGAGGCAGGCGTGCTCTTCTTGGAGTTGACGTCCAGCTGCAGCGCGTCCAGTGCGCTTTGGTTCGCCTTCCCCGCCAGCCCCGTGGTGAGGCTGGTGCTCAGGGAGGTGATGGAAGACTGGTTGGCAGCGATGAGGCCCTCGGCGGCTGCCAAATCGGCGGCCAGCGCATACGGTGCGAGGTCAGGAGGCGGTGGGATGGCGGCCACCTGCGTTTGTAGCGCTGCCACGGCGGCCGAGTTGGTGCCGATGGAGGCGGTGTTGGCCGCGGTGTCCGTGAGGGGCGTGTAGGCCGTCAAAACCGTGGCCAATTGCCCAGCAGAGATGCCCTGCATCTCGATGGTTGTGATGGGGGTCTGCCCGTCGTTGAGGATGTTCCCGGTGATGGTCGACTCAAAAAGACTCATGTTTTACTAGTCGAGGGAACTGACCCCCGCGCCCGAGAGCGTCACCAGCTGATACGATAGCATGTGCACAAAACACTGGTCCGCGCGGTCCGCCTCCATGTTGCTGAAGCTGAACCGGCACAGGTCGCCGGAGCGGGTTGAGATGCCCGAGAGAGGGTGCTTCGGCACGCGCTCCACCGGGAAGGCCGCAATGAACTGCGTGTTCCCGAAGAGGTTGTCCCGGATGCGCATGTTGCGCAGCTTTGAATCATAGCACCCACATAGTAGTTCCAAGAAGTGATGCCATTCACTTATGCTCTCGTTGGCCGTGCGAGGGTACTGCAAGGCGCCCAGTTGCAGCTGGCCCTTGAGGTTCCGGTTCGCGTTCGCTCCAGGGTACTCGAAATTGTCCACGTGGTCCTCCGTGGTCTTGTTGAACGTCACAAAGGCGCCCAGCATCTTCGTGAACGCGCGGGCCACGGTGATGTTGTAGCTGGTGGACCCCGCGGGGATGCTGGAGAGCTGCGTGTGCATCGTCGGGAACGAAAAAACTAGGCTGCGGCCGCTTGTGACGATGCGCTGAAACGCCTCCCTGATACTGGCATCGAGGGTAACTTGCGAGGCGTAAAGCTTCACATTTTCAATGGTGTAGTCCTGGCTCCCGCTGACGTTGCGGGCCCCGTCCGTGGGGTCGCAGAAGGTGATCTGGAGAACAAGGTTGAGCTCGGGCGGCAACATCTTGCCGCAATTGAAGATGCCGACGAGATGTGGACTCATGAGCGTTGTGACCGAGCCAGAGGCCGGGATGGGAAAGGCATGGCCCCCGCCGTCCGCCAGCCACTCCTCGTTTTGGAGTAGGCTGTACAGGTACGAGCAACGGTTGTAGTAGCTGATGTCCTCTATGCGAGTGCCATTGGCGAAGACTTCTATGCGGTCGATGAGGCAGCTGGGGTCCGGCGAGGCGAGCTGCAGCGTGGCCGTGTCGGAGTTGTTGCGCACCGTGAAGCCGAGCTTGACGCTCTCGCCGTCCACGAAGTCCATGCCGCTGGTCAGCGGGATGCGGCACACGCGGCTCGTGGTGGGCGTGAAGACGCTCAGCGAGCTCGGATAGTACTGCACGTCCTTGCGGCTCTGCACGTAGTTGACGTTGCTCGACTGGAGCTTGTAGTCGAGGCTCTGGACCAGCTCGTCGTTCACGGCAGCAGTCACCTGCTCCATGGTTTTACTCTACCGGAAAGATTTCAAGCGGCCTCCGGCTCGCTCGCGCTGCGAAGCGCCTCGAAGGAAGGGGGCGGCGCGGCGCGGGACGGACGCTGCATGCGAGGCCCGCGGGAGGAGTCGCTGCCCGAGGACTGCGCCAAGGGAGCGGGGTTGAGGCCCGTCGGGAAGCGCGTGGGCCTCGCGGGACGAGCCTGCACCCTCGGGGGCGGCTGGGCCCGCGGCTCCGACTCGCTTTCGGTGTCCAGGCGGTAAAACTCCGTCCGCGGGCGTTGCCGCGAGGCCTGCGGCTCCCGGACCTGGAAGTGCTGCTCGGCTCCAAACTCCTGCATGCCATTCAAGGTCTGGATGTCGGGCGCGGAGCTGGGGCGGGAGGCGTCCGTGTCGGTGCCTCCTCCGCCGCCCCAGCCCATCAGGTGCTCCGCCGCCACCATGCCGCCGTGCAGTGGTTCCCACGAGTGCGGCCGCCCCGCCTGCCACAGCCAAGCCCCCCGCAGCAGCTCCCATGCCCGCAGCGGTGCCCAAAGCAGCCTCGCCGAACAGTGCCAGCGCACTGGGGCCCTCCGCCGCCGCTGCTGCTTCTGCGGCCCCCGCGGCCATTTCTGCGGTGGAAGCGAAGCCCTCCGTGGCCTCGGCCTCGGCCACCTGCTCGCTCATGAACTGTTCAATGTCTCGGGCTGCAGCCCTTTCCACCTCCTGGGCCCGCTGCCCCGCGCGCTCCAGCAATGGCTCCACTTCGCTGGGCCTGCCGATGATCTGTGGTGGGGCCACTTCGTCTGGCGGGGGTGCAAGGCCCTCGGGTGTGCGCGGGATGCGCAGGTTCCGGTCGATCCAATTGCGCCCCCTGCGCGCGGCGTTGTAGAGGTCCTGTCCGTGCCCTGCGATGGCCGAGGCGGAGCCCGCCAGTCCCGCCGCAGCTCCCGCCGCAGCTTCGGCCTGCTGCAGTCGGCTCAAGAAGCTTGGCGGTGCTGGGGGCTCCAGCCCGTCGTTTCTCAGAGCTTGGCCTGGGTCCACAGCCCCAAAATCAGACTCGCTGTCCACGTCAAAAGGCCGGGGGCGCAGGAAATCTCGGCGGGGGAAGGGCACGCCATCGTAGCCTTCATTGGTGTCCTCGAAGGCCGCCGCGGGGTCCACGGTCGTGTGGGGCAGCGGGGCTGGCTCGGGCTCGCTGCTCTGCGGGTAGTCGTCCAGCCAAAAGTGACTGGAAGTCAGGATGGACGCATTGCGGTTCGGGAGATTGATCGGCAAGGGTTCGCCCTCAGCTATGTAGCCCAGGACTTGCCCGTAGGAGGGCCTGACGCGGAAACCGTGTGCGCGCCGCTCCTCCATCTTTACATCAAGCCGCCGTAAACCCCAGAGTCGCTAGTGTTCCGCCCGGCAGCGACATCCCGCGCCACGCGGCGAACGCCCGCTCGCTCTGCGGGGGCCCACCTCAACTGGGGGATCCTCCTGTTGACGGCGTCGGTCATGCGCCCCAGCTCGTCTGCGTATGCCTCACCCTCCTGGCGCTGACGCCGGTTGGCCAGCCATTCGTTGAAGGCCCGGGCATCGATCAATTGCTGCTGCCGCTTGTAGAGCAGCGGCGTCAGGTTCTGGGGTACTGCTTGTGGAAGGCTCGCAGCATTGCGGCCTCGTTGCGCCGTTCGGGGAAGGGCATCATCTCTTTTTACAAGTCCATTGTGTTTGCGAGTAGGAGCTCGTGGAAGCGGTCGGCGCGGGAGAGCTGCCGAGCGCGGCGAGCCTCCGAGGGCGTCATGCGCACGGGCTGCGGGGGCTCTGGCTCCTCTGCTCGCTCCTGGCGGGGCTCTTGCTGCGGCTCCGGTGCCGGCGGCTCATCCGAAGGTCGCTCAGGCGCATGCTTCGGAAGCTCCGCCACGGCCACAGTCGGGGGCGGCTTTGGCTTGTTCTTCGAACCTGGCGGTCGCCCTCGCCGTTTGGGTTGGGGCGCTTGCTGAGGAGCCTCGGTCGGCGGCTCGGCCACCGCGGCAGGCTCGGCAGGCTCGAAAGGCTCCACCATGGGAGGCTCGGCTACGGCGGGCTCGGTGGCCACAGGAGCAGGTTCATCCTCAGCCATTTACTTTTCCACTTTTTTTTTTATCGTTCGGTGTCGAGGAAAACCACAAAGGAAATGCTGGTGCCTCGAGTGTTCACGATGTTGCCCTGGTAGTCGGTGAGCTTGAAGCGCAGGTGACGCAGGGTTATGGGCCCGTGCAGCTGAGCCCAGTGCCCCTCTGACGTCTCGGTCTCCATGACGTGGCCCACGCCTTTCGAAACGACGATTTTGCAGAGGATGTCGTGCCCCAACGGGCCCACCGTCGTCTCCCCGTTGGCCAGTGTTGGGCACCTGAGGTACAGTTCTGAGAACGGATTCATCGTCACAAAGACGAAGCGCTGCACAGAGCCTGTGAGGTAGCTGGGGCCTAGGAGGTGGTTGATGGACAGAGCCTTGCTGGGCGAGGCGCCCGGCGGGTAGGGGGCCGTGCCTGGGAAGCGCTGCCGGAGCTCGGCATCGTTGAGGATGAGGCGCACGCCGTCGTAGGTCACATCGAGCTCATTGGTCTCGGCGGTGTAGCTGGCGGAAGCGAAGTTGCTGCTGATCCACGCAGCCAATCGCGGCCCTGTGTACGCGCCCACTGGGAGCTCCGCGTAGTGCAGGGTGCCGGCCACCGTGTCCTCCCAGTACAAGAACGTCCCGCGGTCCGTGCTCAGGAAGGCGTCGGCAACACGGACCTTGTACACCGCAAGTTTGGCGCCGGATTGAATGTGCACACTCTCACCGATGTCGAAGGAAAAGTTACTGTTCGTGCCCTCCGCGCGGAGGCGCGAGTCCACGTAGATACTCGTCATGCCCTTTTTAGAACGGCGCCTTAAAAACCAGGTGGGCCGCGCCGAGAACTCGCTGGCGTTGGACCCGTCGGAGGTTTGCCGGGGCCTCTCTGGCGGCGGCCAGTGGCTGGGGTCGTAGATGCCTTGCGTGCTGGTGCAACACCTTATGTTGCTGCACTCACTTTCGCATATCGGGCCTCCCCCCAACAACTTGGCCGCCATCTGGCTCAGGAGCGTCCCCATTTAGCAAGAACTTCCGGTCGAAGCGCACCCAAAACATGTCTTCCTTGGGAGCGCGGAGGTTAACGAACCAAAAGCTGTAGGGCTCCCTGGTGGCGTTTCTTTCGGGAGCATGGCGCTCAGCTCCTCCACCAAGGCATCCAGCTCCAGTTGGTGTCGCAACCGGAAGACGCAGTAGAACATCACGTTGACCCGCACGGCGGAGCTCATAAGACGCAGCTTCTGGGTGCTCACCCAGGTGTTGATGCAGAAGTGTCGGCCACGGATGAAGAGCGTGTCCAAAACGCCGTCCCCGTCTTCCGGTGCACCGCAGGGTTATCGGCATGGTCGTCCAAAACTATCAATACTTGATATAGTTTTTTGAGGCCCAGCTCCTTACTCTTCTGCGTGATGCGCTTCTGGTCCGAGATGATCTTCCGCAGCGCCCCCTCGTCCCAGTCTTCCCACCAGCACTGTTCCCGGTCGGTGTTGACCCCCAGCTCGTCCCGGATATAATCCTTGACAGGCTGCCAGGCAGAATCGACCTCTATCGAGGGCGAGAAGATAAAGATGCGCTCAAAACAGCCCCTGTATTGCTCCAAAATCATGCTCACCAAAAGCACCGTCTTCCCGGAAGCCGATGGGGCACACAAGATCCCGTTGGCAGGGGGCTTGCAGACCACGGGGTCAGGTGGCTGCTTGACGGAGTACTCAGGCGTCTTGAACAGACGCACCTTCCCCATTTACCCCAAGCGTCGCGCTTGCGGCGATTTCGTCGCACAGCGCGGGCGGGATGGAGTATAGTTGGTCCCGCGAGTTGCTCCCCTCCCGTCCTTTGGTCGGTCCTCGCTGCGCGGTCTCTGGGTGACGAGTTCCTCGGAAAGCCTCGCAGCGGTCGCCCTTCCGACAGGGCCCCTGGGAGGGGGTCCAGGGCAGGTTGTGCCACACCGCCGTGGGCTTCTTGTACCGGAAGCCGTACTTGCAATAGCAGATCCGGTCCATGTGCAGCCCCTGCATGTAGGGGCGAGTCTTGAGGCACCCGGTGCTCGGGGTTCTCGATGGCCCACCACTTGGGCTTGAGGTAGTTGATGATCTCGAATGTCTTGAGCACCAGGGCGTCCCCGACCAGCAGGTTGCGGGGGCGCTTCTTGAGGGCGATGCTGAACTCGGTGCAGCAGGGCGAGGCCCAGACCATGTCGAAGTGCCCGGGCTCGAAGGCCTTGTAGTCCCACTGCAGGATGTCGGAGCAAATGCTCGGGCGGGCCTTCGGGTTGCTGTCAAGACTCGTTACCTCCCAGCCACGGGCCTCGAAGGCACGTCCGACCGACCCCGTGCCGCTGAAGAGTTCCAGGAGTCTCATTTGTTGAAGGAAAAGAAAAGGCCCACAGGACCAGCAAGCACGCCAGCAGGGCCAGATTGACCCCCACGCACTGCACGGTGGAGATGCGTTCAGCGGCCGGCATTTTTTTCTTGACGGGAAAAAAAGGGAGCGAGACATGGAGCCGAAATCGTCAGTCAAGCTCGGAGAGCTTACGACCAACCAGCGCGGCGGCAGGGTGTTCCCCGCAAGTGCAGAGGCCTGGCAGCCCCAAGAATGGATGCGAATTCTGTGGCACCCTAGCCCCTATGGGAGCGAGGAGGCCCGACGGCTTCCTCTTTGCTTGGAGCCCAACGAGGCCGCTGTGGCAGACCTGGAGACACTGGAGAAGGACGTCAAGAGCCAACTGACGCAGCGGAGCCTCGGCGACGCGAAGATCTTCGGTCGGTACCTGACCGCGTCAGATGTGGAGGCCCGCTTCGTCTCATGCCTGAAGACATCCGCGCGGGGCAACAGCTTCATCAAACTGAAGGTCGATCTGTCTCGAGTCCGCTTCTGGGACGCGGAGCAACAGCCCCTGGAGGAACCGGGCGACCTGGCCGGCCGAGCGTGCAAGGTGCGCACGGAGCTGAAGCAGGTCTGGTTGATGAGCGGACAGTGCGGCCTGCTGCTCGAAGTGACCGATCTTATGCTCAAAGAGCAGCTGCCCCAACAGTGCCCCTTCTAGGGTTGCGTCTGTGAGACACTGAGACATCTGAGACATTGAGACGGCGGCGCCTGGGAGAGGGAGAGGGGGGGGTAAAGCCATGAGACACTGAGACATTTGAGACATTGAGACGGCGGCGCCTGGGAGAGGGAGAGGAGGGGATAAAGCCATGAGACACTGAGACATTTGAGACATTGAGACGTCTGAGACATTGAGACGGAGGAGGGGCCCTGAGACACTGAGACATCTGAGACATTGAGACGGCGTACCTGTGAGAGGGGGGAGGAGGGGGCCCTGAGACACTGAGACATCTGAGACATTGAGACGGCGTACCTGTGAGAGGGGGGAGGAGGGGGCCCTGAGACACTGAGACATCTGAGACATTGAGACGGCGTACCTGTGAGAGGGGGGAGGAGGGGGCCCTGAGACACTGAGACATCTGAGACATTGAGACGGCGTACCTGTGAGAGGGGGGAGGAGGCCCTGAGACACTGAGACATCTGAGACATTGAGACGGCGTACCTGTGAGAGGGGGGAGGAGGCCCTGAGACACTGAGACATCTGAGACATTGAGACGGCATACCGTGGAGCGTCTCAATGTCTCAGATGTCTCGGTTGTCTCGGGGGGGGTCTGCCTGGGTCAGTGCGGAGCATCTCAATGTCTCAGATGTCTCGGCTGTCTCAGGGGGGGGGGTCTGCCTCGGCCAACACGGAACGACTCAATGTCTCAGATGTCTCGGTTGTCTCGCCAGGGGTTCCTCTGAACACAGGCGGTCAGAGGCCGAACATTTTTTTGGGGTCTTTCGAAATCATGTCGTGGATGCAACAACGCGAAGCGATACGACGTGCAGCCGACGCAGGGACCAGACCACGGATCTCGGCGCAAGGCTCGCAGCTTCTGCCCCTACGGGACCATCGCCTGCGCTCCGTGCTCTTGACGCGCCCCAATGGCCAGCTCACCCGCGCCGGCCAGTTCTTCTTCGGCCTCACTGGCCAGCGCCCACCGAACCGCCAGTTCGACGAGGCCCAGCCGCTCATCCGAGACGGGGCGTCCGACTACATCCTCATGAGAGGGGGGACGCGAAAACTCGTCAGGACCCTGCAGCCCAACGGGCAATACCACGTGACCAAGTTGGGAAAGGCATTCTTCAAAGACAAACATACGGAATGGCTCGCTCACGTGCCCGTGATCATTCGGGGCACGCGACGGAGAGGGCGCAATGCGGGCAACGCCTACGAACGTCATGACTACCTCCCCGTGACTGCTCTGGAGCTGGGCCTGTCCCGCCAAAACGACGCCTGGAGCGACGCGCAGATCGCCCGCAACGTGAAGGAGTCCGTGCTCCGCCAGCTGGGGCAGCCTGGGGAGGGCGACCCCATATACATGATTTCAAGGAGAGACTTATTTCTTGCACCCCACCAACGAGTGGGCCTAGAGCTCCTCTTCCATGCAGGTGATCGACAATCGGGTGAACACGGAGATCCGCTTGCGCCAGCCTCTGGGCGCCCTCCGCGATGTCTCTTACCAGCTTTTCGCCGGGGACCAGATCCTCCCCAGCGCCTTCGAGGAGCGTCAGGACATGCTCTGCGTGCCCCGCCAGATTGCGGAGCTACTGAAGCTCTCGCTGGAGGACGTCCTCCAAGACTTCGACGCCATATGCTCGGCGGGCTGGCGGGAACGGGGCGTCTCACCGGCAGAGATACGAACCTTCTGTGATTGGAGCAACGCCCCCATGTTCTATGTAGATTGCAAGGGCAGGCTGCTGGACTGCTTCCAATCTGCTTCCAACCTGTAGAGAAGGAGGAAAGGGCTTTGGCCTTTACGTCCTGGAACGGCCACGCCTTCTTCTATAAGTCCGCCCGAGCGGTGGCGAGTTGCGACGACACAGAGCGACCCCGTTACCGCCGCGCGCGACAGGAGAACAACACTCCTGAATTCGGAGAGTGGCAGCCCTGGGCGGGGAAAATCGCTTCGGGGCACTTCTGGAGTGAGGACCTTCGCGGTGTGCGCGCGCAGCTGCTTGCGGCAGGGCACCAGCCCAAGGTCTCCATGAGGGGGCTGTGTGAGTGGTCCGCGCTGCGACTGCGGGTGCCAGGCGGGGCGGACTGCGTGATTCGCGAGCTCTGCGAAGATGCGGAGGTGCTGCAGGAGTGGACGCGGCGCCCTACCGCGGGCAACGCCTGGCGGGTGCGAGTCTCGAGGTCTTCCTGCACCTGCTGCAGGGGAGGCGTGATGACACAAGGAGTCGCAGGGAGCAGCTGCTAGCAGAGCAAGGGGGAATGTGCAAGCTCTGTGGAGCCCCGATCACCTTGGCTGCCTGCGAGGTCGATCACGTCATCCCCGTCGCCCAGTCTTTCTCTGGGCAGCGTCAGGAGCTGCAGGCCCTCTGTATCGAATGTCATAGGACCAAGACCAGTCTGGAGGGCAACCGCAGCACCACTCTGGAGAGCCGTTTTTGTCGTTATGTCTACCGCACCTACACCGCCAGCCCGCGCCTGCCACCCCTCGTGTGCCAGCTGCAGAAGTGGGACGCAGAGCGCCCCTGTCAGGGAATCGATGTCTGCCGGTGCCGGAAGAATGGCCTGGCCAATGCGCGTTTTCCCATTCCCGTCTTCTGTCCACTGGATTCGATTGTGCCCGCCCGAGAGGGGCAGCTGGCTGACCTGACCTACGTTGATCTGCCCTGCGACCAGCGCAAGGGGCTGTTGGATCGCTTGCCCTATGTCGGGAGGGGCTGGTACTCCAAGCCTGCCTGTGCCTTCATGCTCGATTCGGGGTTGGTGCAGTGGCGCCACTTTCGCTGGAGCCTAGACGCAACGGCGCATGTGGACCAGCGCTGGCTGGAGCAGGCCCTCGAGACTATGGAGTCTGCCTGGCCAGAAGGGGAAACTGTCCATCAACGCCTTGGTGGGGCTCTTCGGCCGGAACCTGGACCTCGTCTATTCCATGAGGACCTCCAATCACCAGATGGATGGCGAAGGGTGCAGCTGGCGCCAAACCTTCACCGACGCCGCGGGCCGAATGCACTGGGACCACGTCTTCGTCACAGAACTGCTGTCTAACAGCAGCTACCGTCCCGTGCACGATTACATCATGGGAGCCGAGTACGTGGCGGTGGCCCGGATTCGCAAGGCTCTGGCCGAGGTGCCGCGGCGTTATCTGAAGTGCTTGAAGACGGACTGCCTGGTCATGCAGGACGTGCCCAAAAAACATCGGCCCGCCATCGAGCGACTTCTGCAGATGTCGCATCGGGACGGCACGCCCATGTACCGTTGCGAGGGGGTGACGGGCCTCCAAGGCTGCTACCGGGAGCCCAGCATGGAGGCGGAGCTAATTCGGGAGAAAGTGCCGTGGCGCCACGTGGAGGACCCTGTCAGCCACTGCCTCGACGGCGAAAGCCTGCTGCTGACGGGCTTCCCAGGTTGCGGCAAGACTCATCTGGCCAAAAAAATTGTTGAAGCTCTCAGGGAGCACGGGGACTCGATGCACATCATCACCAAAACGCATGCCGCTGTGCAAAACGTAGGCCTCGGAGCTCAGACGGCAGACCACTGGGTGCGCCGGAACGTGCGCAGCGGGCATTGCAGCGCCACCTGGCTCGTCATAGAAGAGCTGACGCAATTGGACACGCCTCTCTGGGCCGACATCGCGTGCCTGAGCATGAACACCTCCATGCGTTTCCTGCTCCTAGGCGACTTCCGACAGCTCCCCGCCGTACTCGATTCCTTTGCCGGAGCGGAGGTCTGTCGAGAGCTGAAGCACAGTCAGCTGCTGCACGACTTGGCGGGCGGCTGGTGTCATCAGCTGTCGGAGCGGTGGCGCTTCGACGAGGGCATCTTCTCCTTCTTGACCTGGCTCCGAGTAGATGAAGCGGAGGAGGTGCCCCTACAGGAGGCGCTGCGGACGGATCGAGAACGCTTCCCCCGTCAGGGTGCACCGGAAGTGTGTTTGGTCATCTCCCATGCCAAGCGGCTGCAGATTAACGAGCGCGAGAATCGCCGGAGGGCTCCTGACGATGCGCTGCTGGTGGAGTACGCCGGATCCCGGGCAATCGGAACCAACGCGCCCCAAACCATGCGAGTTTGGCCGGGGCTGCGACTCGTCGGTGCCGGCGGCAAGGTGCGGAAGGGCGTCTTTGTGACCGTCAGCGAGGTGGGGGAACGCGTGTCTCTGGAGAGCGGGCAAAGCTTCGAGCACCAGGAGCTGCTGAAGCACACCCGACTCTGCAGCGCCATCACCTACGCCTCCGTGCAGGGCCTGACCCTGCAGGGCCGAGTCTGGCTCTGCGACTCGGACTCGCCCCACTTCACCTTGAAACATCTGTACATGGGCTGCTCTCGGGCCACGAGCTCCGAGCTCCTCAGCGTCCTGTGAGGGAGCTGCAGAAAAACGGGCAGCATTTCCTTCCCCGCAGCCCTTCCTGGGGTAGTGGGTAGTGAGGTTTCGGAGCCGCCCCATTTCCTGGACGGCTCCCAGGGCCTCGCCCTGCGCGAAGCGTCATCAGGGGGCCGGGCGAAACTGGCTGACCGCCCGTGGTAGCCCTAACAGTCGGGCACCCCCCTCGACTTCGCTGGGCCACCCGCCGCAGCCCTGGGAGCCTGCCGCCGGATAACCGGTCGGTCACGGGCCCCAGAGCCGCAGCAGGCGTGCCCGGTCTGATTCCGAGTGCTGCCCAGTTTGATTCCGAGTGCTGCCCGGTTTGGTCCCGATAAGACGTTGAGACGTGGTCGCGGTGAGCAGGACCACCACCCCCCTCCCCGCGAGACACCTGAGACATTGAGACGTTGAGACGTGGTCGCGGTGTGCAGGACCACCACCCCCCTCCCCGCGAGACACCTGAGACATTGAGACGTTGAGACGTGGTCGCGGTGTGCAGGACCACCACCCCCCTCCCCGCGAGACACCTGAGACATTGAGACGTTGAGACGTTGAGACGTTGACACGCTCTAGGACACAATGATGTCTCAAATGTCTCAGTGTCTCAGTGTCTCAGTGTCTCAGTGTCTCAGTGTCTCAGTGGTCATTAGTCGCTCTCTCTAGGGAGGGTGTTCCAATCCCTCCCCACAGCGCACTTGCAGGGGCTATTCGGAGGCTCGCAGCAGAATTATGCATTTGCATGGCCTGTCAATTGCGAGTCCTGGGGGCCACTGGCAGCAGAATTGCGGGGGCTCCGAGAAGCTTGCAATTCACTCGTAGGTCGTCAATTGGCATGCCATTCGCGCGCGCGGCTTGCAGGCGTCTGCAGTGGCTCCTAGTACCTGTCAGTTCGCGGCTTGCAGGCGTCTGCAGTGGCTCCTGGCACCTGTCTGTTCGCGGCCAGCAGCAGGCTACTTGCAGGAGCTTGCAGTATGCCAGTAACTTGCAGGAGCTCACAGCAGCAGGCCAGTAACTTGCAGAAGCTTACAGCAGTATGCCAGTAACTTGCAGAAGCTTACAGCAGTATGCCAGTAACTTGCAGAAGCTCACAGCAGCAGGCATGCAATTGACTCTCACTCACAGTAGCTCGCAAGCAGCAGTGCAGCGACTCACCGAATTGCAAGCTTTCTGGAGCCCCCACAATTCTGCTGGCAGCAGCCCCGAGGACCCGCAATTGATGAGCCACGAATATGCATGTTTCGGAGGCGACAGGCCAAACAGGCCATGTAGGAGCTCTGTGGGGGGGGATTGGAACACCCTCCCTAGAGAGAGTTTGGGGACATTGCATAATGTCATTGGGCGAACAGCTCTTATGGACAACAGTGCCGCTTCCAAGGAAAACCATTTTCAAGCCAGCTTACAGTGCTGGTCTGCAAGTGTTGCGGCATCTTTGCTCAAGCCGGCTTTACTTCATTGCAAAGGCAACCACAAGAGGTCAATGGAAGTGTATGTAAATATGGAGCTGTTGCGTGGCGGCTGCTGACGCACCAATGCACTGACCACCGGAGGTCCCACTTTGAAACATGCTTCGGCTTCTCTTGAACTCTCTCTAAGACAGATGTGCGCACACCGCGCTGCGGCACAGCTAAAAGGATTAAGAACTAAGTTTGAGAAGTGTTATTCAGGCCTTAGTTTTTTCTAAACTGCATTAGAGTGCAGTTTCAGGTCTTACAGAAGCATCGCTGTGGCCAATTTTTAAGGTTAGAAAATTTGCTTTTATTTGCATGCCGCAAAACGCATCATGCACGCCACGAAACGCGTTCACTTTTGCATGCCATGAAACGCGTTTACTTGCGTTCATTTTTTTATGTTGCAAAAATGCATTTTCAATGCAAAAGTGATCCAAGTCTTTCTAATTTTTTCTCTGTTCCCAGGTGGGACATTTGCGGGGTGTTTACCCTAGAAGACTGCAGTCTGTAGCGCGGCGGCGGTGGACGCAATGTTAACAAGAAAGTCGTTCAGGTGTGTTCGATGGAGGGGAGATGGAGCTTTTGCCGAGAGCGGCGGCGGTGCGGCAGCGCGGTGCGGCTGCGCGGCAATGCGGGGGAGATGGGAAGCTCTGGCCAAGAGCGGTGCGGTGGCGGTGCGGCGGTGGTGCGGTGCGGCATGCATGCGGAAGATGGTGGGGAACAATGGTGCATGCGGGGATGGGGAACTTAAGCCAAGAACGGTGGCGGCGGTGCGGTGGCGCGGTGCAGTGGCGCGGTGGTGCATGCGGGGAGATGGGCCGAGAGCGGCGGCAGTGCGGTGGCGCGGTGCGGTTCGAAGGCGGCATGCGGGGGAGATGGAAAGCTCTGGCCGAGAGCGGCACGGTGTGGTGCGGCGGTGCGGTGGCGCGGTGCGGTGGCGGTGGCGGCGGTGCGCGCATGCGGGGGAGATGGGGAGCCGGCGGTGCGGCGGCGGCGGTGCGGCGGCGGCGGTGCGGTGCGGCGGTGCGGCGGTGCGGTTGCGGGGCCGTGGCGCTGCGCGAAGAAAACGAAAACTGAAAACTTGAAACTGATGATCAAAAACCACTGACTTTTGCCGTGTAACCGATTTTTCTAGAGTGCCCTGCATCCTTAACCCATTGCGACCGTAGGAGTGCCAACCAAGTGCCCTGCATAAGCCCCTTAAGCCCGATCCCCCCTCCGAGAAGGCACTACAGTGAACCCTTAAGCATGTTTCTCCGCGCCGCTCCATGGTTCAAGAGGGTTGACAGCAGTGAGTCTGGGGACACAGCATGCACAGCAACAGCACCGCACTACAGCACCGCACTACAGCACCGCACTACAGCACCGCACTACAGCACCGCAGCAGCACCGCAACAGCACCACCATGGGGCAGCAGCGCACTAGCTGGCACTAGGGCACAGAGGGGACACACCAGTCTTCGTAACCCCGTCCCAGCCACGGAAACTCCGCGTGGAGCAGCAGCTGTGGCGATCTTCGCCCTCTGCGTGCTCCAAGTGGCAGAAGTTGCCATAGGGGGGGGCGCGGGAGTGCGCGGTGCCGGCCGTGCCGGCGGTGGACCGTGAGGCGGCGGAGGAGGTGCCGGCGGTGGACAGGCCAAAGAAGGTGGCAGAGGTGGCGGTGGTGGCGGCCGCCCCCACGGCGGAGGAGGTAACGGAGGTAACGGAGGAGGGGGCCCCGTGGAGGTTACGTGGTGGATGGGGCCTCGGGGGGGCACTTGTGCCCCCCCAAGCCGCGCGGGCGTGGGAGGAGGCAGGGGAGCTGGACGAGGAGGAGGAGGATGAGAGGGCGGAGCCCAGCTCCAGCTCCACCACAGCCGTGGTGGGCGCCGTGACGCACGCTGCGAGTGGAGCTCCCAGGCGTGGAGCGCCTCATCAACCTGCTGCAGCAGCAGCAGCAGCAGGTTGCCGCCCCCCGGCGCGGTGCGGATGCAAAATTTGTCCCACCGGAGGGAGGCGAGGAGCCGTCACCCCGAGCGGCTCAGCGGCCAGAAGGCAGCGCTGCGGCTGCTGCAGCCAGTGCAAGGAGCTGCTGCCGGCAAGGGCCACGAGGGGCCCTTGCGAGTCGTGGAGCTGCGACGCAGCCCAGGCTGCCCGGGCGGCCGCGGCCGCGAAGGCCGAGAAGGAGGCCGCAAGGGCCGAGAAGGAGGCCGCGAAGGCCGAGAGGGCCAAAAAGGCCCAGGAGGCCAAGGCGGCCAAGGAGGCCGCGGCACAGGCCAAAGCCGCAGCGAAGGCCAAGAAGGGTCAGGAGAAGGAAGCCCGGGAGGCGGCGAGGAGGGAGGAGGAGGCCAAGCGGGCCAAGGAGGAGGATGAGAGCCAGAGCAGCTGCTCGGGGCTCAGCGGTTGATCGGTGGAGGAAGGCGGTGGAACGGGCCGCTGTGGAGAGGTGGCGGCGGTGGTATCGGCGGTGGAGAGGTGGCCGCGGTGGGGGGAGGCAATGGTGGTGGAGGTGGGGTGGTGGGTGGTATCGGCGGTGGAGAGGTGGAAGCGGCGGAGGGAGGCAGTGGCGGTGGACTGGGCGGCGGTGTGGAGGAGACCGGCGGTACGGAGGAGCCTCTTGAGGTTGGCGGAGGAGGCCGCGGAAAGCTTCCGGCAGGTCCTGGAGGAGGAGGCGGAGGAGCCGGAGGAGCCGGAGGGGAGGAGGAAGGGCAAAAAGCGGCGGCGCCGGAGTCGCAGCCGCAAACGCGACCGGCGCGACCGGCGCGAAGGCGGCGGCGGCGGTGGCGCCGGCAGCAGCGGCCGGCGTGACGGTGGCAGCAGCGGCGGCCGGCGCAGCATGGCCAGAACGGCCGGCTGAGTGGGCATGACATGGACAGAGCACACAGCACAGCACAACAGGACAACACAGCACAGCACGAGAACACAGCACAGCAAGACAACACAGCACAGCCTAGGCCTAGGACAGCAACAGCAACAACAGCAGCACCATGGGCTCTAGCAGACATTTTTGTAGCACCACGTGTGTCCCGAAGCTCCCTCCCATTAGTTCAAATAGTAAACCTTAAAATCCTAGGCGTAGGCCGGGTGAGGAGGGGGAGCTCCAGGACACACGGGGCCGACGAGGTACCCATGCGGGGCCTTGCGCCTGAGGGGTGGCTTTCCGAGCGCCATAAAAGGTGGGGCGCACCTTGGTTCCCCAACCCCTTCGGTTGCCCCACCCCTAGGCCCTTAGGTGCCCGAACCCCTCCCTGAAGTGCCCGTGCCCTCCCCCCGGAACCTTCCCCGCGGCCCCTGCGTCCCTAAGCCCCCCGTAAGCCCCTGAGCCGGAGCCCACGCCCACGGAGTCCGCGGCGCCCGGCTCCACCGCGGCCTCGACGGCGGCGGAGGACGAGGAGGGCGAGGTAGAGACCTTGCTGGGCCTGCAAATGCGCCGCGTGACGCACAAGAACGTGGAGTGGCTGGAGCTGGCGGCCAGGACGCTCGAGCAGTCCAGGGCGGACCTGGGCCAGGATCGAGGACGGGACCGTGGAGGGCTGCCGGCTGCGCTGGGGCGCGAACAGGTGGGCGAACG